GTAAATTGCATGATTAAAAGTGGTAAGGTTAAACATGTAAAGGACTTGGCTGAGTTGCTTAAGCAAAAGTGATCATTGCTTCCTGAGACCCTCTGCAGCATATGAGGATTCTGCAGAAGGGTAGCAGATTTAACCCATAAGAGAAGCAGCTCATATCCAGTCAAGATGCTTTAGAATATCTGAAGTATTTATGCTGAGGTAGAGGAGAGTCCAGAGACTCTATGGAAAACTGAGGGAGATTGTGGAAGAATTCTCACTCTGAGATTGTGGAGAGAATTTATAATGCAAAATCTTGCCACAGCTTAAATTAAGACATTACATTTTCATTTTAGCCAATCAGAAAGACTTGGAGTTCATACCACTATATTAGCAACAGTATGATGCTGTTGTTTGTGCCCGTAGGACATAATATTTCCTTACAGCAGTCTTTTAGTCTTCAGTCAGTCTGTTTAATTATCTTCAATGACCATGCTCAGAATCCTGTCCAGAGATGATCTACATCAATAATGATGTTGTTTTGTTGTTCTACTTGACATCTGTTTCTGGAGATGGTAACAGCTTTGTAAAAAACATCTGAAATTGCTAGTTTGATGGAAATGGAATGTGTGAATGGAAGGAAAATTACAGATTAATATTAATAACACAGCATGGAAACGGAAATCATAGCACCAGTAGGAAGAAACCTGTACTCTCCTCATACCTTTCTTCTCATTGTTGACTAAGCAGTGAATTCCCTTCTGGTGGAAATTGGCATAGTATCCCTTTGAGAACAGCAGCTTCAGACTTCTTTAGCTTGTGGGGAAGAGTAATGAATGTGCCCCATTGTGAAACTTTCTTGTGATCTGGTACAAGTAGAAATAAGGATAAGACACAAAAGTGTGATCCTTATACATCCGTAACAAGTAGAGCATGCTCCAGATATCTTGTGTGCCACTTTATCTCTCATGCTTGGTTCAGTAGGTAATTATGCTGAATAGGTGCACAAGGCATTTATGCTACTGGACTGTTCTATTTGTGGCTTTATTTTTCAGGTTCTAAAAACATAAGCCAGATTACAACCAATGGGGAAAATGAAGGAACTACCAAAATCATCGCACCTTCCCCAGTGAAAAGGTATGTAGACCAGAAGTTTCCTTACAAGTTTTAAGAGATCGTATATTGCACTGGATAGAGGAACACATTTAGCAATCATTACTAACACTTTATCCTGCCCTTGAGTTTAGGACTATCTGATCTTCTGCTGACAAGTATCAGAGAGTGTTGCCCAGTAATTCGTTTTATAAAACCTTGATCTTCTGATGAATGTGAAACAGGGATTTCAGGTGACATAGAGCCTGGAAACTCCTGAATCAGCACAAGTTAATGGGAAGGTGATCTCAGGTTCAAATAGGAAGAAAACAGATAATGACCCAAAGGGCACTGGCCAGGATATTACTGTGAAGTTCTATTAGTCTCATCCCTGGGAACTGGACAGGCTGTCAGGATGCTCAGGGCATGGGTCTTCTGTCTCTGATAGGGCAAGCCGTGCTTTAGGGTGTGTAGGCAGGAAGAAGGTGGGTATGGGCTTAATTCCAGTGGTGCTGTTAATCTTGCAGTTGATTACTCATTACATTGTTCAATTCATAAGAAAACTCATGAGTGTTTATTCCTGATCCATAGGAGTAGTGAATTGCCAGGGCTTCTCTGGGCTTACGTGGTCTGCTTTGTCTAATTAACAGTGAAGTGCACATCGCTGGTTATTAGGCATATCTGAAAGGAAGATGCTCAGATTTAGAAAGAGGCTTATATCCCCACCCTTAATTTTCATTGGAATTTGTGTGCCTGAATCAGTAAAAGAGTTGTCTGACAAAAGAATGAGTCAAAATCCAGCACCAAATTTTTTTGTTTAGTTGGCTGAATGCCTGCCTCTGCATGTTCATCAACCCTGACTGTTTGGGGTTTTTAACTGAATAACTCTGGCCTTATCTCTCCATTGAAGCTGTGGGCTTCACACACTAGACCTCTAGACTGACCTCTGAAGAAGGGCTTAAAATATAAAATATACTGCAAATGCTTGGTGGATAGTGTCTCCTATGGCCTAATACTTAGAACAGTTGACTTCCAAAAGAGTACCTGTGTTTAACTGCTTCCTCATTTTGAGCAAAATTGAATCCATTATTCTGATCCTTAGAAAACAGTGTGTTAAAAGCAAGTTTGTGATTTTGCCTCTTGGTCACACTGAAGCTTGGCCATTGAGCAGAAAACAATACAGAGGTGCATAAATACCTGAAGGGAGGACACAAAGAGGACAGAGCCAGACTCTTCTTATTGGTGCCCAGTGACAGGACCAGAGACAAAAGGCACAAACTGAAACACAGGAGGTTGATTCTGAACATTAGGAAACACTTCTTCCATGTGAAGGTGGCTGAGCACTGGCACAGGCTGTCCAGAGGTATGGTGGAGTCTTCAGCCTCGGACATAATTCAGCAGTGGTCTGGGAATAGTCCTGGGCAACTGAATCTGGGTCGCCCTGCTGAAACAAGTAGTTGGACCAGATGACATCTAGAGGACCCTGACAACCCCACCACTCTGTTATTCTGTGATTTATTAGGAGAGAGAAAGACACAAAGCAAGAGGTACCATTATTCTATAGTGCAGAGATGGTCATATTGGGAGGCATGGGAGCCCTTCGCTACTGCTTGTTCTCCAAATACTGTGTACGAATTTACAGTAATAAACTGTTAAAAAGAAATGGATAGGCTGGTTCTAGAGGATGAACAAAAATAAAGGGCTCTCAATATGGCATTTTCAAGGTTTCTGAGTTTAATTGTTTATCTTTACAGTTTAAAAGCAAATCACAGGCAGATTGTTACTGAGTCATGGTTTTAAACTGTGTTAGTCACTTCTAGAAAAAAAAGTGTCGGAAATTGGGTTTTTTTGCATCCTTTCTCTTTCAGAATCAATTTGGTTTTTCTCTGGGTCTCTGCAGATGTAAAACACCTTCTGGCTGTGCCAGGCTTAATACGTGTGACAGCACACAGAATTTGTGAAGCATCTAGAGTTTGGTAGTTTGCACCATCATGTGTAATTCTTGCATTAATAGTCAGTCATGCTTGCAAAGCATCTTTCAGGAGCTCTAACAAACAGTTTTCATAGTTTAACATCTCATTTACTGTTGAGATACATAGTTGATTCCTTCGGTGTAACTGGTATAAATTCAAAGTAAACCATAAAAAGTCCACAGCAACAGTAATCTCACATCAAATTCACATACTGACCTTTTCAGATACTTTGGATGAACTCAGTCCCTTTTGCAACTGCATTCCTGGAGATACTACTAGTATCTGAAGAGCTGCCATGCTCTAGCTTTCTATCTGTAAAAGTATGTGTCTGCTCCAAATGAATAATGGCCTAGAAATTTAATGCAGTAAATTCACCTCCCAGGTAATTTCTCTTTTTCTAAGATGTGAGAAACATATTCACATTTCTTTAAGTCCAGCTTCAATCTAATATTGTTCAGTACTTCATGCTGTGTAAAAATCAATTGCTTTTTGCAATACATGATTGAAATATATTCACCTGAGTCACTTGCTTAGTCTGTAGTAAGCACATATTTCTAAGCCTGGGAATAGATTCTATGCACCTATGAGTCAATAATTAATGGGTGCAGTATTAAGAAAATAATT